ATAAACCAATGGCAGCGCTCACTAGAGCCCTATGTTCTTGATTGACCTAGGAAAAAAATACACGCATGCCGGACATGCACATCGCATGGCTAATGCAATCGATAATTAAATAGCTTGTCCTAATTGCCATTAAATATTGGTATTTCCTCGGGTGATTACGTGGCAAACGGTGTTAATTCGCTCACGCTCGCGGCAGACGTGACGTCATCGGTGACGTGTGGTCACGTGCTTACCGTGGCGACTTCCGGTAGGTGCTGGATCATTCGTCCCATGACGCACACGTTTCCGGATTTCGCGTTCATGATTTCGTGCCACCTGCAAGCAAGGAGCAATCGTCAGTAAATCTACATCTGCCACCCGAGTATGTGCAGATCCCCTTCCCCTGCTACCCTAACGCTGATAGTAGTGTTCTTGTCGGGCTATTAGCGACTAATCGATGATTGAATGATTTATTTATTGACGACGGTTGGTGGAATGTCCGCGTTGATTCATAATTTAAAATGTCGATCGTAGACTATCCATTAAGTGGTCGCGACGTATGTCTGTGTAGGATGGGGTTAGGTTTAGGGTTAGGATAAGCATAGGGTGACGGTGTAACATTTGTTTTGCACATGTTATATTGCATTAGTAATTGTAGACAATAGGAGAAGGGTTGGGCGTTTAGAATATAGATTATAAATAGTTAGGTTGTGGGAATTAGGCAGTTAGTAGTTGGATTACAAACTAGCGCAGTGTACATATGCTGTACATATGGACCTTTGCGCGCAATACGACGAATGGGAGTGGTGCGTGATTGGTTGTGCCGAGTAGAGCTAGTTTGTGATTGGACGAGAGAGCCATATATATATAGGAAGAAAGGGATTTGAACGAGGTTGGAACTGGGAGACGAGACTGGGACAGGGAGCGACGTAGAGACGGTTGTATATTGTAAACAATATATTTCTTTAGTGAACACAAAACTTCTTCTTGATTCTTTTAAATCTAAATTATTACATATAAACGCGTCTTTACAAGGGTTAGCGTTAGGGTTAGTGTTAGGGTTAGCGTTAGGGTTAGGGTTAGAGTTAGCGTTATGCTTAGAGTCAGGATTCGGTTTAAGACCAGGGTCGGGGTCAGGGTACCTGCAGTTGTTGATAAACGTTAACGCTGTCTCCGCATTTTGCATCTCTACAGCGAGTCCGAGCGCCGTCTGACCTTGATCGTTCCTGACCTTCACGGTGGCATTCCTGTCCAACAGATGCTGGACAGCCCTCGACTGTCCATTCTCCGCTGCTAGGTGAAGCGCCGTGTTCTAAACGTATTTATTTTTATTATATTTTATTAAAATATATTATTATTAAGGAAATTATATTCATATTACTTTGGTTGTATTATTCGTAGTGGTACCTTCGATGTTTTCGCGTGTGATCAAGTACAAATGCTTTGGATAAAAAAGTAATAAAATTACGCACAAGTGTTGGTAGGTCACATGTACGGCTGCGTGCGTTGCTTACCCCGTCTTTATCGACCTTGTCTAGCAGGTGAGCGTGAACCGCTAGCAGTTGCTTGATCGTCCATGTGTAGCCACTATATGTAGCGAACTCGACCCACTGTACAACACACACTATAGCATGCGTCAGCATTACTTCAACCTTAAAGACGTACGGCGACGTACGGCAGATTGAAAAAAGGCATGCTGCACCGCTTGACCTATGGTTTAATTAGGCGGGACACCTGCAGGTCACACGTAGGGGTCACATGGCTGTGACCACTTGATGTCCCACGGCTGTATATAAGCTGCGGCATCCAGCTCCAAAGCAACACAGAGCCAGCTTGGCTCAGTCAGGAAAGCTCGCAGTCTCCCACTGCTCTCTAGCTGCTGGTGGCTTGTCCGCCCTGCTAGCTGACCATGTAGGGTGTAACAGAGCTCAGTCAGAAGTTTACGTAAGGATACACAACGCAAGACGTGGATCACGCTGCTTGCTGCTTCCTTCCTGGCTCCAGGACACACAACGCAAGACAATGAACACGCAGCTTGCTGTCTGCTTTCTGACTCATGGACACACAACGCAAGACAATGAACACGCAGCTTGGTGAGCATTAGCAAAGAAGCTCTCACCCTCCCACTGATCTCCAGCTGCTGGTGGCTTGTCCGCCCTGCAAGCTGATCATGTAGGGTGTAGCGGATTAGCTAAGCACTGCTCATTACTGCATTCGGGCCTTCAGCACAAAGTATCGTATGATAACGGGGTGTATTTTATCTGCCGCGGGCCTGATCCAGTGGTTAGTAATAAAAGCCCCAGCATACCCGGTGTGAACACCGTTACTTTGTTGTCGCGTCTTATGAGTTGCGTGTGGATTGGTCGTTCCTGTCAAGGAATTATACCCGGGCCAAACATCAGGGTCCGGGATAACGTCTTGTCGGCGAAAAGGCAAGTTCGTTACACATATATACATACCGTCTCACTATCTATATATGCCCACTTAATGAATCCTAACGATTAATACGTTAGCCGATGCTTGCAGTTTACAGACACACAATAACTGCGCATGCGTGCGAGCGTAAGCGGTTACACGTGAGTGACATTTAGATATAGGCAAGTGCAAGTTCTATAGCGTATTTAATCCCATTTTTCCATTAAAATTTCTTTTCCATGTTTTACTCCTGATATATGTGTAACGAACTTGCCTTTTCGCCGACAAGACGTTATCCCGGGCCCTGATGTTTGGCCCAGGTATAATTCCTTGACAGAAACGACCAATCCACACGCAACTCATAAGACGCGACAACAAAGTAACGGTGTTCACACCGGGTATGCTGGGGCTTTTATTACTAACCACTGGCCAGCAGGCCCGCGACAGATAAAATACACCCCGTTATCATACGATACTTTGTGCTGAAGGCCCGAATGCAGTAATGAGCAGTGATAGCTAATCCGCTACNGTTTACCTGTTGACCTATCTGAAAGATTTCTTTGATGATGCTGAGAGCGCTAAAGATCGTCACGGTAATCAGCATGACTAGGTCCAGGGTCGGGATGCTTTCCTGTAATGCATAGCCAAACCACAGCTATCGATCAATGATTGTCGATAGATATGATAACTTGTCGATAGTTATTCAATATCTACCGTTATCTCAGGATCGAGATGCCTGCCTGTGATACACAGTCATCGATCATTGATCGATAGTTAACATCGATCCCCGTTTATTATTGATGATAGTTCTGCATTTCTTGCTCGTCGCTGCACCCATATATGTGTAAGTGGTTGTTATATGGTTCCCTCATTATATAACAACAAACCTGCACTCATATTTGTGTTGGCGGTTGTTATATAGTGCCCTCACCATATAACCTCCACCATTGTGGAATCATTATTTTCGGCGCACGTATGTACGTATTGATCGTCACACGATAACTTCAAATAAGTTAATGCATCCGTAACCTCCTCCGCCGACGTAGACAAACGCGACGCTAGATGGCGCCGCGGTAGCTTACAACGATTGACCAACGGTCGTCGTTGGCGTTGGTGATGTTGTCCCATCTTTCGTCGGAGAGGTGTGAGTGGTCCATCGGCTCTTTAATGGTGACGTAGAGGGTCAGGGCGGCGACGAACACGAGGTACAGTCCCAGCACGAAGAAGTGCAGGTAGAAACCGTAAGCGTTCCTAAAACACGGGCGCGGGCAAAGTAGGAGCGTCACCGAAGATGAAGTTAGAGACCCGCTTGTGTAGAGGGACCACGGAGCGTGAATGTAGATTATAAACTGAATATAAGGAGTCAGCTCCGTACATGAAATCGGGAGTGAATAAAAAAACAATGTTATTTTTTCCTTAATTACTACAATTATTGTTATTAATTGTTATTAAATCGATTAATTCGTTCATTACCTATTAATTATAAATGCTTTTATTAATTGGTAAATATGTATTTATGTTATTATAATATTTAGTTATTGTTAGTTTATTATTTGACAAATTTTATTCACTGCTGATAGAGTATATAGCTAACTATATAAAGCTCTGATCCTGGCTCTGATTTGCTGATGTAATTTAGTCACCATTTCATGTTGAGATATGCCTGGCAGACAGGATGATAGAGCAGGTCCACTCTGTTGCAACGAACCATCATCTAGAAAAAGTAACAATATAAAGACCGTGCCCGGCAGCCGTCAGATATATGCCGGCTGCCGGGCATATAGCCACTCTGTTCCTGTTCTACTAGGTACTTCTACAGACTGACTGGCTGGTTGCTGGAGGTGCGTGCGGCCACGGCGAACTCGTACTTTTTCCAGGCCCAGGAATTTTCAAAGAAAGCCTACTTTTTGTGCAGATTCACATTGTAAATTGGCCATTTCGAGTGTGTGCTGGCAAAATTTTGTTTACAAAAAAAATTATGGGAATTTTTTTTGGTTAATAACATATATGGTGTCACTTGCGACTTGGATTCAGAGGATGGCATTGTTATTTCTAAAAAAAACTTATGGGATTTTTTTGGCAAGTATGGCCGCCTATGGAAAATGACTGCCCAGTGTAGAACCTTAATCATGTTCTGTAACCATACCGCCCCAGTGGACGAATTAATAAAGCATCGAACTCCAAAACTATTGATTCTGGGTTCGAATCCCACCTCGGGAATTCTGTTTCTTTACTTTTGAACTGTTTAGTATGTACTTCTGCCACTTGACCGTTAATTTCAAAATGTAACATTTTTTACTACATTGAAACGTTTAGTCAAAATCTAGAATAAACTATGGTACATGATAATAACAGCACAAACTGACGGGAACACTTCACGGAAGCCTATTGAGGTTACAGATCAAATATTATTATATTTTTTATATTATTTTATTTTATTATTTTTAATTTTTTACTTTTTAATTTTAATGTATTTTATCTTTTGATTTCTTATTATTTTTTATTGTTTGGGATGGGATGGGATGGCATGGGATGGGATGGCATGCAATGGCATGGCATGGCATGGCATCAGATGTCATTGGATGGCATGGGATGGGATATGGGATGAGATGCGGTGCGATTGGATGGGATGGGATGGCATGGAATGGATGGATGGATGGATGGATGCATAGATAGATAGATAATTATATTTTTTGGGGTATTTTCCTTTTAACCAAGCGGTCACCAACAGAGTAACGCCACTGATTTCCCCGGGCAACGGCGGGGCATCCCGCTAGCTTTTTTATTTTAATGTGTTTTATCTTTTGATTTCTTATTATTTTGTACTGTTTGGCATGGGATGGGATGGGATGGGATGGCATGCG